TTAACTTCACACTTAGCCAGCTAAATCACATAACAGTGTTATGAGTCATAAACATAGAAGAATTAAAAGTTAGATTTTTTGTTATCTACACACAGTAATGCTGTTACATTAACATGAATGAAGTCTCTCGAAACTTAAACATAGCCTCTGGAAAAAAAAAAGAAAAGGCCACTTTTATTTTGAATCCTCACTCAGTATTCATCATAGCTAATCAGTCACTGAACTGAGGTACTGGGCCGGATCATTGAGCCCCCATAGCCTGCAGAACTCCTTGACGAAAGGCTGAACCAGGTCGGGCTCCTCGGTGATGATGATGTTCTCCATGTTGCTCTGCACTGCAGTCAGCGTCCAGTTGAGGGAGCCGGTGATGAGCATGCGGCCATCCACCACTGCAAACTTGTGATGCATGTGGACGGCGCTCGCATCGCACCGCACGCAGATCCCTGGGGAGCAGAGGGTGGATAGGCAGGAGGAAGGAAGGGAAACTCTTTAATGCCTTACAGTATACAGCGCTTGTTTCCCTTCATCTACTTACTGTGAAATTCTGCACAAAAATTCAATGCGCCTCAAAAGGGAAAATGGTGGTTTTTAAAAGTACAGTATGTATGTAACGATCTCTTTAGTGCTACACCTTTAAAGATTGAAAGACTGTTACATATGTGTTTCTAAATGGATGGTGTGGAAAACTGAGGACCCAGAGGACCTGTAAAATACAAAGGTATTGTAAGCAGACGAAATGTAACTGCATTAAAACCTGCGCGCTTTGACCACATATAGGATTACCTAACACCACATCAGCCTCTCATGAAATATTTAGGACACTCACTACTTATTTCCATTATGGTTACCTTTTCTTGGAATATAAAAAAATATATAACATGCAAAGACTGTATATTTTTTGTAAATGTGACTGTTATGTGCATCTGAAAGTCTAACATTAACTCATATGCACTGCAACACAGTGAACTTGTGGGTTTTAAACAGGCAATATAAAGTAAAAAATGTAAAACATTCTGATCTAAACTACAGCACTGAGACCGAGGTTTTTTTTAATGCATTAAGTGTTTCTCTGTTCTTCAGTTGTGTTGTACGGAAATGACCATAAGGAGGATGTTGGATCTCAGTTTGCATTACCCGGCAGACTGCTAATTTTTAGATTGCCCTGCAGATTACTCTCAGAGATTAGTCATGCAAATCTTCTCTTGAATTTGGCAAGTGCATGCCTCTTAAAAAAAACCCCACATTACCAGAAATGGCTTTTTAGCAAACCGAAGAAAGACAAGATCTTTTTCAGAATCTGTTTTTTCATCCTTGTTGAAATGTTTAACAAATGAACTCTTGACTATCTTAAGTGATGATAACCTTTACCCCTGTGCTTTATTTATGTACAGCGGTTCAAGAAGCTCCACAAGATAATGATGAAATATAATAAGAAGAAAAGAGACGCTGACTGTTCTTTGTGCCAAAGTGGTTTTCGTGTGATTTGCAGTCAATACACACATACACACAAAAACACACACACTTTCTCTCTGAAGAGACACACTTTGCTGTCTGGCTGCCAGTTTTGCACTTACTTAATTCTTACTTAAAGCTTCTGTCTTGCAAAAAATAAAAAATAAATAAAAAAGGGTTACATTGTATTAAAGTTGAGTGTCTCATTAAAGAACCACAAAGATCTCCAGTGCCCTGCAGTTGGAAAATAAAATACACTGGTGAAGATGGTGTCATTTGCACCAGTGGATGTACAGCTAATATAATAGTTCAAAGAGTATGAGCGAGAGCGCATAAGGGACAGAAACAGAAGAAAAGGGACAGACTCAATCAAATATAGGTGTGATATATAGTTAGTTAGCTAAGTGCAAAAAGCTGCAAAGACGGCTCAGACTTATTAGGGCAGACAAATCAAAAATGGAAAGGTTTTGCTGATTGGTTTGTGGAAATAATTGTGTGTGTGTGTGTGTGTGTGTGGGGGG